AAAGCTCTCTACTTAAGGAAACTGAACAGAGGATTATTTCAAAAGTTTAAAGCTGTAAACAGCTGTCACTTTATGTTAAATGTCAGGCGATTTTTGCGGAAGGTTAAATACATAAAACAAAACAACAGTAGCATTTCCCCAAGGCTACCAAATGCCAACGGCTTCTTTCTGGCAACTAATAAAACGTGCGCTAAATATTTATGAATTTTCATTTTACGACACCTTTGAAGCCAGCTGCAAGCCAAAGAAAAAAGGAAAAACCAAAACAAAACACAAAATAAAATGCCAAAATTGTCGTTGCGACTGGATGCTGGTCAGCGGCTTTTACATAATTTAAACCAACGACAACAACAAACAAAAATGAGCAGCATGCAGAAATTAACATAAAACGTAAAAGAAACAAGAAGGAAAACAGAAATTATGAAAAAAATAAAAATAAACACAAATGTCAAAAAAAAATCACGTTTTGCAATTACACAACAGAAGCCAGCCATGAACTGGAGTTGTTGAGTGAGGACCAAGTATGAGAGAGGGAAAGTGAGTGAACGCGAGTGTGAGCGGGATGTCATTACTGTAACTTGACAATGAAAACGGTTTTTTTTATGGAAGCTGAAGCCATGAATGGAATGGCGCAAAGAGATCCAGCGAGAACGAGAGAGAGACAGCTTGGTTTTTTAAGAGAGAGATTAGAAAAATAAACAGAGCGAGCATGCTTATTTAGCTATATAATGGTTTTGTTAAAATGTATGCTTACTGTGCTATTTTAAGATAAAATTGATGAACAATACGTATTAACTGTAAAATATTTATTTATAACTAAATATGTATGTTTGAATATATACAGTAAAATCGAAGCTGAGATAGAAGAGAGAAAGCAGTGTTGCAAAACGCCCAACTTAAGCCCTGACTTAAGTCTTAATATTTACAAAAACATAACTATATCAAATTTCGTATATTTTTGCAACTTTAATCTTAAAAAAACCGAATTTACAATCTATAGGCGAAATTCAAGCTTAAGCCGGCAGAGCTTTCTTAAGATTTCGCTTACAATTCGTAAGCCCAAAACAGGAATTACTGTTTCGTACGCCAGACCCAACTAAGTCGCACAAAACAAGTCACGTTTTTTAAGCGTTTGCAAAACAAAAACTAAAGAAAAGACCTCGACGCGTAGCAAAGGACTCGAGTGAGATGCTCTTCTTCTTCTTGTTCTGCTGCCATAATTGTATTGCATAATTTTAGCACGCTCCAATGTAAAGTGCACGCCATAAATACGCCCGGAAATATGCGGCAATATATATTGCATATAAACACACAAACAGAAACACATATATAAATATATGTATATATATATATATATATATATATATATATAGTTATCTGCCTACTGGAGTTGCACACACTACTTTTCTCATTACAAATTGGATTTTGCAGTCACATTTCGCTTATTGCGTTAAAAAATCTATGTAAATTTCTTTATATGCCCATGAGAAGCAGGCTCTAACACAGCCTGCTCTCCCTCTCTCTGTCTCTCTTCGTACCTCGCTCTTTCCCTGAGTTTGCACCCATTTCCATAGCATACTTTTGTGCGCCTTTGCGTGCTGCAGCTGCACGTAGCGCAGCAGCGGCATTTTGTTTGCATCTTATTATTATTATTGCCACAGCGCTGCAGATACAAATACACACACACCAACACACACACACGCAACAAAAAGCAGCGTCTGCCGACTGCCAAGTTATTGCGAAAATATAATTCACTGCACTTTTTCTTTTGCACCAGTTTCTATCTTCCCGTCTCTCTCTCTCTCTCTTTCTGCTTCTCGCTGTGTCTGTTTGTTGCAAATTAGCTGTGTGGCAATGTGATAATAAAATTTTTGTGTGCTTTTTTTTGTGCGCAAAAGAAGTTTATTGTCTGCAATCGTGCAGATTATATAATCATGCTTGATAAGCTCTCGTGCAAGTAGCGCACGTTGTGCCGAACAGGTTAAGTTCGGACTTAAACGAAATGCCAAATCTTAAACAAAACAGAAACTTAATATAGACAGCTAATTCGAGTGGCCAGTCACAAGAAGATCTCAAGCTCAAAGTTAAGGCAATATAATTAAATAAAAATATTCTATTACCTATCTAGCGTAATTTGAGTTTTTTTATTGTTATTATTATATAATAATAATTATTATTATTCTTGTATATAATTTATTTTATGTCGCACTTTAATTTTATGTCTTCACTTTACTTAATTGAGCTGTAAATGTGTTTTATCTCTTTGCTTTTACAATATATTTTCCTGGTCGTATATCATTTTCCACCTTCCATGCTGAGAAAAGCTCGCACCAAAACAAACGCAATTAGCAAAGCGTTTTCACATGTTTCCCCAGCTTGACAACAATTACAAAGCAAAACAAATACGAATTGTAGTTTTCAATAAATTACAACCAGCACTGACTTTTCTTTGGAGCATGGAAAACTTTTGTTAACGGCCGGAAAATTTGCTGACAAAATTGCAATTTTCACTCAATTAAAAAAAATTAAGAAAAATTGCAAAATGCTCGAGAGTAAATAAAACTACAACTGTTAAAGTTCAGCTCGAGCAAATTTAATGATGTCGAGTGAGCTGCTGAAATAAATTGAGTAATGCTAGTTGAGCATGAGTTATGCTTGACTTACAATCATTTTATTTACTAATTATACATAATAATGTAGCAATATATGATATTGAAAAATGTAGCATCTAATAATAATTTTGTTATATATGCATTTTCCAAAAGTTACGATTAATGCTTTAGTTCGTGAAAAACTGAGTAAGCGAATAAATAAAAATATATTTTTGTGTTAGTAGAGCAACTAAAAAACACTCACTCAGGCCGCCGTGTACATATACTACTTTCGTTGTGTGTACGTGTGGATCCTCTCAGCATCTACCAAGAAAATATTCACTTCCGCTCACTGAACTTCGATCCAAACTGCGCGCTCCTCATTCTGAGCACCCAAATGTGGATTTTGAGTACAATTGAGTGTTTACTTAGAGGACTGCACTTAACTTTGTTGTGGACCAGACATAAATGAAAATACAAATACCAATAGGTGCGCAGCTTGTTTGCTTTTCCTACTCTTTTGATTTTATATTTTATATGCATTCGAATATAGATATATTTTTGCCTATTAATATACCGTTTATATAATCAATCCATTATAACGCGTTGGTGTGGCAAAATTGAGTGCTTTGGTTACACCACACACTAAGATATTTTCCACGCTCTCATTATCCACACCGCTCTTAGGCTGCAGCAATCTCTTTGATTGATTGAGTATTTATGCATGTGGATCCTCTCAGCGACTCAGTCAGCGAACAGTTTTTTTTTAAATTTGCAAAATTACTTTTTTGTGAATTTTAGAGAGACGACATTTGAGTTTGGTTGTGGATTTTTGCTTACATTCTAAGAAAATAATTGAATTACTAGTTTTTCGACCTTTTTACGTAGGAAATCAATGTTTATATTCATATGTATCTACATATATGAATTTGTTTACTGTCTAATTTCCAACCCATCATTTATTTGCCGTAATTATTGTATGAGCTATGCAAACTGTTAATGCCCAACACACTCGCACACACACGCACAAACACTCTCAGGCAAGTGTATCTTATGTTTACAACATAAAAATTAATTACCCAACAGTGTTTCTTATAATTCTAGGCTGTCCATCCGAGGCGAGGCACAGTCCGAGACAGGCGACTGGCTAATTGTGGACTTGTGCGAGTCGTTTCATTGATTTATGGCTGCTAATTTCTACGCACGACGTTAAAAGTATTAAATAATAAACTCTAACGCGACGTCCTGCCACGAAAAAGGCATCATGATCCTGCCGGCACTCTGTCTATGTGAACGCACCCAACCCACCTTCCGCTTTCTTCGGGCTGCCCGCTGCGTTGCAATGCCGTCAACGATGTCGCCCTGGAATATGAGCTTCACGCCTCTCTATTCTTCCTCTCTCACTCGTCTTTTGGCTTTACAAGTGTTTTGTTCTATTTTATGGGCCACTGGCGCTGCCTGTGTCCCTCGTATCACACAGCCCACCGCCCCCTGCGCTCACAGCCTGCACTCCCAGCAGCCGCCCAGCTCGTTGGCGTCTAATGAAATTAAAGGCGTAATGTAATACAGCTGGCAAAGTTTTCATAGCGGTTATTTTCCTGGCTGGCTGCTGGAAGGGTTGACGTAGTGCCCCCTATCCCTGCACCAGTCTTCTCCTATCTGGGTAATATGAGCTTTAATCATCAGTAATTATTTTATTTATTTATTTTATCTTGGTTAGAGTTGACTTTACAGAGATATTCTGATTCCCCCCTAGGAATCAAATTGAAGAGCATCATCAATTGATGCTCAAATTTAGCTACATTGCAATGTAGAAAACAACAAGCTCAGAGGTATAGGGTATAGTTGAGCAAAAAATAAAGGGAGTACATGCAAACATGCATAATAACATTTTATACATATAAAGTGAGTCGCTTTTGTACATATTAAGAGAGAGTTAACAATGTTATTGGTTAGAGCGGTAGGGGTAATGGACTCTGTTATGTCAGATGCCAATGAGCTATTGCATGGTGTGAACAGTGCAGATAGTGTGAGCGTGGGAATTTACTTAGAGTCCACCAGAGAGCGCTCAGAAGGCGTAGGCAACTGCTGGGATCGTAAAAAATTTACCGCTGTTCTATAAGTGAGTGAAACTAAAGTACTCACGCGTGTAGAAGTTTGCCAGTACAGTTAGTTTGTGCACATTTATTGTCGTATGGCTGAGAATTCTAGTTACGAGTAGGTGTAGACTAAGCGCGACGACTTAGTCTCCGCTCGGTCGTTTTGTTGATCAGATATGTTCTTGGGCTTTGGTTTCGTTTAAACTTTCAAAAGAAATGCCGTTTCGAGCTATTTTAAAATAATATTTTATTAATTTATGTTTTTCCTTAATTGTTTGTAAATAACCTAAGCATGCGGGAAGCTGGACTATTTTCGATAATTTGTTGACATGTCTAGCCTTACAGCGCCTTTGCTTCAAACTTCGACAATAGGTCATCGACAAAACAGGTTTGAATATAACTAAATTTTGTAGGTAAACTTGTAATTGAACTAAATACATACAATCAAAAGCCCTTTAACAGCAGGAAACTCAGTTACTCATGGCATCCATAAGCGATTCAAGCAGCGATTCGGAGATCTTTCTACACGCCGTAGTAGCAGCAGCAGGAGCAACAGCAGAACGGATAGCTGGCTTGACGGCACTCAATGAACATAGAATCTCACAGCCCGTGAATCCTGGCCCTGGCTCCCTCACGCCGGATTTCGGTGACCTAAATGAGCCAATGTCTGAACAGGTGGTGCAGGAGCCCGACAACTGTAGCTGCACACTGACACTGCAAACACTCACAGATTATACACAGATCGGGAGTGATCAAGTTTCACAGCCTGATTTCGTTACGCCGTATATCGATAATCTAATTGATCCACTATTCGAGCGGGTGGTGCCGACGCACAGCCTTTGCGACTCGAGTTGCGCGCTGACACTGCACACATGCGATTACACAGAGATAACGAGTGGTGAAAGCATTTTAGAACTCGTGACACCTGACTCTACGCCGTATATTGACAATCAAGTTGAGCCCGTGTTCGAGCAGGTGGTGCAGGAGCACAGCAACTGCGGTTCTGGGTGCTCAATGAAACTGCGAACCCTCCACTCTGAGGAGATCGCGAGCGATGAAGCCGACTATGCTACGCCGTATACTGATAATGCAGATGAGCCTGTGTTCGAGCAGGTGGTGCAAGAGCACATGAACTGCGATTCTGGTTGTTCACTGAGACTGCGAAGACTCAACTCTGACGAGATCGAAAGTGACCAGAACGTCTCGCGTCCCCTGACCCCTAACTTCGCTAAGCTGCATATTGAGCCAGTGGTTGAGCAGTTCCAGGAGCACAGACCGCGAACCCGCAGTTACACGGACATCGTGGGACGTCGGGCAATCCACACGCCCAAGCCCAAGGGCGTTCACAAGACACCGAAATCGGCGAAAGCAAAGCGAACAACCAAAACTCCAAAGACACCAAAAACCACCAAGAACAGCCTGAAAATGTAGGATAGTGTAATTTAGTGAATCGCGCACTCTAATGATCGCTTTACCCCCTCCTCATCACACAGAGGCCATCGCTGCGGAACGCCCAAGAGAGCATCACCTCAGAACGTGCGCAAGAAACGGCAACTCGTAGCCATGATGACGCGTCCCGTGATGAAGAGGCGTCCGCTCTATACGCGCAAGAGCCCTAGGCTGGCCGCGAAGCGAAAAACGTGAGTTAGCTGAGCTCGAAGTGTGTGCAGATCGTCTGTAAATACCTTGACTTATCCACAGTGAGGATCAGACTAATGATGGGGCATCACCTCCGAAACGCGGCCGGTACGAGCAACAGGTAGACAAAAAAAAACAATCGGATGACGTCACATCAGGCGACATTCAGATGGAGACGCCACAACTTGTGGACCTAGCCGAGTTGCCGGCTGCTGCTGAAATCTGTGGAGAGAAGTCGCGCAAATCTTTAACTGTAGCCACAGCTGCACCTGTACCTAGACCTTCACATACACCTTCACAAATAGTTACACCTACTCCTACACCTGCATCTGCACTTGCGGCTGCACCTTCATCTTCACACCCATTTGCACCTGCAGCTGCGCCTTCATTTTCACACACAGTTACACCTGCAGCTGCACCTTCACCTTTACCTTCACACACATTTACACCTGCAGCACCTTCACCTTCACCCTTACCTTCACACACATTTACACCTGCAGCTGCACCTTCACCTTCACACACAGTTACACCTTTAACTGCACCTGCAGCTGCATCTTCACATATACTCTCAAATACACCTCCACAAACATTTTCAAATGCACACACACCTGCACCTTCACTGAGAATTTTCAATAGACTTTCAAATACACTCTCAAATAAACTCTCAAATAAACTCTCAAAAAAACTCTCAAATACCCTATCAAATACACCTTTACGTAAAAACTCAAGTACACCTTCACATACATCTACACCGGCTCCTGCAGTACACGAACAGAACTCGGAGGCTGAAACTATCGCTCAGATTAAGCTTGAGGCAGAGCCAGCCGAACAGTGTGCAAGTCCCATAGCCAAGCCAGAGAGTGCTAGCAGCCTATCGGACACTAGTCGGCTGTCGATGATCAATGAGAATGACGATTCCGATGTGAGTACTCTGAAACCTGAGCAGGCACTGCACGTGGACGACTATGAACTACAATTGGATGACAGTAGCGTCGGGGGAGACGAGGACGATGATAATGATATCGATATCGATATCGAATCTGAGGGGCAGTTATCGTCCGATATACCTAATTTGGAGGAAGAGCTGCAGCGCAGGCTGCACCAACACTCAGATGAGCCGAGGCCAAAAGAGAGCCATAAGAGCGGATGTACTCTGATGTGACAAATGTTAATATATATATTGTAAAAGTCGGGTTTATATTTGAAATATTTTTCGGTAAGCTAATTAAATAAAAATTCATATTAGCGATACTATGGCTGATTATTATACAAATATATACATACATATCTGAATGCCAGACTCTAAGAGCCATATTGAAAAAAGAGCAACGTTGTTTCCCAAGCCACACAAACATACACTCACTCATGTGTAGAGTTTTGCCTATGGCAGCAACAATAGAATAGATTCCACAAAAGAATACGAAGAGTGCAACTGCGATTACAAAGTTGAGTAGAATGCTCTTGCTGTCGAAAAAGTACTGAACTAAGAGAACAGCGAACAGCGAAGAGCGCAGCTTGGATCGAAGAGTGAATGTTAAACTGAGCGCAATTCTAAACGCTGAGCGCGTACATTCCTGCGCACATATACACAAGAGCATAGTTATGTACGTTTGTGTTAATGTGCCAAGGTTTGCAGCTTTAATATTTCATTTCAGGATTGATTGACTCTGCTACAGCAACTAGCCAAACAGCTGGTTCTACTCTTAGCCTAATTCAATGTCCTATTCTTGTTGACTATTCACCTATTTATATCGTCTGAAAAATTCATATTTTGACTGAGTTTTTCCCCAAGAAATGATTGAATGTAACCGACAGACAGTCGCAGCTGCGACGACAAAACTTTTGGGTAAAAAACGAAAAGCGGAAAACTTGAGTTTGCGAAAATTTTTTACTGACGCACGTAAAACTGCAAAAGTGAGCGCCCAAAAACGGAAACACGCCCACACGCAGGCAATGACAAACTATGTGTCGGGCAGCTCAAGGTGTGCCCTCATCGCCCAACCCACGCTCCCTTCGCTTTTCATCAACATTGTTGTTGTCGTCGCTGCCCACGTAAGTTTTTAGAGGCTTAATTAAATGCATAAACTTCTAAGCATAAACACAGTTGCCCTCACCTCTCACTCTTGCCGTCTCACTCTGGCCCTCTCTCTCTCGCCCGCTCACTCTCGGCGTCTCACTCTCGCCCTCTCATTTTCTCACTCTCTTTCGCTCCGCATTTTCTATCAGCTCGTTTCGCCCATATCGAAGCCCCATGGAGCGCCTTTTTTGAGTTTCACGTATAAATTTGAAGCGTTTTACATTGTTTACGTACTTTGTCATAGTCATGTGTGTGTGTCTGTGTGTGTGTGTATCTTGTTGCTAGCTTTTTGGTAAAGTTCTTAGCTAAAGTGTTGCAATTATATTGATTGAATTTTGCGGTGCTTCCTTTTGGCAACTATGAAATGCTGTGCGACACACACAGAGTTAATATTACGTATACGCCCACGTGGTGACGCGCCAATTGCGCACAGCAGGTGGGCGTGGCACTTGCTGTGTTAAGCAACCAGCTTTGAGCACTTAACACCTTTACCACAAACGCATTTTCACCTGGCATTAACATTTCTTTATGGCATCGGCAAACGTTTGCGACTTTTTGGTTAATTAGTGGATGCAATATGAAAAATGTATAAGTATATATATATATGTATATATATGTCTGTGTATTTATATATAGAACATAAATGCGTTTAAGTCTATTAAAATTACAGCTGCCTGTGATGAATTAAAATGTCAGTGAAGCAATTTCCGTAGTTCTCTTGAGTTAAATTTATGCCGTTTTGTTAAGTAAATAAAGCAATAAATAAAATAATATTAATAAAAGAGTCCGTTGCTTCGACAAAATAAGGCCAATGTGTATTCAATGAAATGAATGAAGTTTGGCTTAATTAAAGAGATTATCTTTTATCTTTGAAACAAGACATTTTGTTAGAATCTTTGGAGCTTTTGAGAGTTTCCAAGAGTTTTTAGAGCAAAGTTTACAAGCAAATTGGGATTAACTCCAGTCAACTTATATAGAAAAGTTTTGTATAGTGCAGATTTCAGTTTGGAATTTCTAGATAGCTTAAATATAGATATAAAATATAGTATTTCTAATATTTGTAACTACTTTTAGTTAAAGTCATTATATATTATTATATTTTACTTTAAATATTTTTATTTTTAAAAATTTTAAAATACATTTTATATTTTTTAGAATATTTTTAATACTTTTAAAAATATTTTAGTATTTTTTAAAATATTTTGAATATTTTTTTTTTAGTTTTTTTTAACTATGAAAGTCCCAGAAGTTTCTTATGTATTAATTTATTTTCTATAATTTCGATATTCTGCGCTAGAGAAATAATTAACATTCGTGATACTCTGAGAGTCAAATAAATTAATTTCTATACACTTTTTATATTTCACTCAATATTTTATCCTTTGGCCATTTTGTTGCAGTTGTTTTTATATGTAATTTTTTGTTATTTTTTCTGCTTGTTTTTATTTTACGTTAGTTGAAATCTATTTGAAATGCAACTTTGTGCGCCAAGGCATAAATCTTTGGCACAAATGGCAAAACAGCAGCCAAAGAGAGAAAGAGAGAGGGAGAGGGAGAACGAAAAGGGCACTGCGAAAGTGTGTGAGGGAGAGCGAGATGGAGAGAGAGTCAGTGCTGGGAGGCAGCAAAGCGTAGCTGCGAAACGGCAGCAGCATATGTTGTGCTTTTCTATATATTGTCGCAACATCAGTCAGGATTAGTTGTAGAACTTTACCATTGCTAGACTAGACCCGGTTTCTAGTCCTTCCTCCCACCACCTAGTACTTGCAAGTCATTCTCATCTTGTTTGCCATGCTGTAACCGTCTCGCTGCGTGCTTCTAACATGGCAGCAGTTGCCCTAACGATTGTTGCCTCGGTCCTCGTCTCCTTCCGACTCCTGCCAGCAGATGGCGCTCTTCAGTGGCTTCTGCTTCTTCGTACCTCTGCTGGCTGTTGTTAGCCTTGTCCTTGTTGTCTTGTCAGTTGAAGTTTTGTTGTTGTTGTTCTTACTTGGTTTTCTGTTTGTGTTTGTGTGCCCGCCTTCACTGCATGAAAAGTTGCAGGCATTTTCTTTGCCCTTATTGCTCTAGTTCTTGATGTTGTTGTTGTTGTTGTCGCTGTCTTTTGTTTTGTTGTCGCACTTCACGTATATATGCTTAAGGCCATGGAAATTAGTTGCATATAAATTCCACAAAAAATTCTTACACAAATTTTGAAATGGCAAACGTGTCGCGACTTCAGCTCAACTATTTAAGCTCTCTAGTCAAGTGTAAATTATGCCTATTTTCCGCTGGAATGCCTAAGGACAATGCCATTGTGAGTGGGTATTATAAGAGTTTGGTTCTATTATTTAATCTATCGTGGTAGCTAGGTTGAGCGTTGCTGTAATATGCACACATACACATACAAATACACATCTCTTACTCTTTAGTTAAAGTAAGAGAAATGAGAAATAAAATCATATAAATCATAGTTTCATAGTAATGAGTAGAAGAGAAAACAATAGCACAACAGAATCCACAATTAGGCACGCATCTCGGATCTAAGAATTGAGTGCGATTCTAATTGCAGAGCGCGTGGTTTCTTGCTCACATACATTTATACACTTGTATAGCAAGGTGTGCATGTATTAGTGTGCTAAAGTATCGCTCTCTACAGTTTACAATCCACAATTGAATTTACGTAAGTCTGTATTCAGTTAATCCTTAAATTCGTCCTATTTTAATACCATTTTCAAAAGGGAACAAATCTTTTTAGTTAATAATAAATACATATCCCTATATATAATTATTTGTTACGAACACTGTTAATTTTTTCGTTTATGTGATAATATTGATTTTAATTCATTTTGTTTTCAAAGCCCTTTTATTTCAATAGATTAAAGAGAAAGTTCTCTAAAAGTCTTGTATATTTTTTTTTTTTTTTTTTTTTTTTTTTTTTTCGTTTTTATTTCTTTATTTTGTTGCAGCTTATTGTCTTAGACTCTATAGCGCATTTAGCTCTAAACCTTAACTAATGGGAGGGCAGATATGCCAATTATTCTGCACTTGTAGCTACTATCTTAATTAGTTCTAATATTGTCTAGAGGATGCAATCTCTTCAGTCTTCGCCTATTGTTGTTTATAGCCAGGTTGCTTGCGAGATGGTTAGGATGCGCTGCAAGTCTGTCCGCGTATCTTGAACTGTGTCGCCCAATGAGTTCAGCAACTGTGGGAATTGCTAAATCCCTATGTAAGACTGAGTTTCTTACAAACCAGCTGGCTCCAGTCCATCTGCGTAGTGCTTTATTCTGCAGGGTCTGAATTTTGTTCCTTGTAGTCTTCGCCGAGGAGCCCCATAGAGAGATACCATATACGAAGGTTGGGACAACTATTGCCTTGTAGATGGCGGCCTTGCTGCTGTAAGACAACTTGCTTGAAGCTCTCAGCATCCAGTCGAGGGTTTTTAGCTTGCTTTTGCATTTTGAGGTTACTTGACTTATGTGCGCTTTAAAAGTCAGCCTTCTGTCAAGAGTGATACCAAGGTACTTTACTTTTGAGGCTTTGGGAATAGTGGGCCCCAATGCAACGCTTGGGCAATCTCCTCTTCTAGTGGCGAAGGTAGTATGTACAGACTTTTGTGCATTAATGGTGATACACCACCGTTTTGCCCAGCGTCCGAAAGAGTCCAGATATTTTTGTAGTGAGTCTGAAGCTTCTTGCGCAGATACGTGACGTGATAAGATGGCGGTGTCATCTGCATAGGTCGCTATGAGTACTGCATCTGTACTTCCTATATTTGGCTCGGGAGTTGGCATATCTCCTGTGAATAAAGTATAAAGTGTTGGGCCTAGAACACTACCCTGTGGTACTCCAGCCATAATTGGTCTAGTCAAGGATACTGTTTGCCCCCTTGACACTTGGAAGGTTCTTCCAATAAGGTATGAGGATAGCAACGCGAAAAATGGGGCTGGAAGGGTGGTCCTCACTTTCTGCAGCAGTCCCAGGTGCCAAACTCGATCAAACGCCTGTTTGATGTCTAAAAAGACGGCAGAGCAGTACATCTTTTCTTCAAAGGCTCCAAGGATATGGTGCACAACTCTGTGAACCTGTTCCGGTGTTCCATGCTGTCTCCTGAAGCCAAACTGATGGTTTGGAATGGCCTCCTGGCGTCCC